AATGATATAAATTACAATTGTGTAATTTTTAATTTCAATGTATTTTGTTATTTTAAATATATTTGGAATTATTTTGAATATTCAAAAACATCCATTGTAATTTATTGTCAATCTTTTGGTTTTGTTATTTTTTTATTATAAATATTCTCTTAATTTTTTTATTATGATCTCTCTAAATATTCTACCTCTATCATATTTATATTTTTTTTTCATATTATTCTTTTCTATATACCTTTTGTAACTTTTCTTTCATTACGTTGTGACAGGTACGATGGGGTTTTCTCTGCGAGAAGGTTGATATGCTCTTATTTTCTGAATGGTTGGCGGTGATAATTTGATGGAGGAAGTAGAGGTTGGATATGAAGACCTTTCAATTCAAAGAATAAGGGCGGGATTTATATTATAACAAAAATAGTCACTGATGATCTTATGTATGAGAAAAGGTCTGTGAAAAGATGATTAAATTTTTTTATTTATTCAATTTTTTGTGATTGTAGTAAAAAAATAAGAATAATTTTTTATTTAGTGTTGATTGTTTTTGAGCGTTTATATATGGTAATAAGATAAATTTCAATAAAATAAAGGACATGATAGAATGATGTCTTTCGTGGCTAAATGAAGGCAACTACAATCAATTCAAATACTCCATAACGAGTAATAAAAGTTTATGTTCAACATGCCCTACCATGTCGAGATTCAATTCGAATATTTTCCTGTGGAAATCGTGCTCGGGGGTGGGGGGGGGGGGCAAAGTGAAGAGAAAGTAGTTATCCTCAATTTCATGAGCCAAATGAGTTAATGATTTTTCAGTTAGGTTCTATTCTCGTTTCCAGCTGTTGTACAAAATCATTGGGTCAAAACTTTCTTAATTTTTCCGTCAAGTTTGAATAATGAATCAATATTCTTGTTCATATGACAATTTACTTCATAAGATGTGTTTGTTATATAGGTGATAATTTGGTATTTCTTTCTCTTGTATCATAATTAGGTAAAGTGTGATCTTTTCACATTAAACTGGTTATTAATTTATTTTTTCAAATAACACGAAACATCGAATAAGTATGTGTGGCTAGACAAAACATCCACATAATCATTGTACGTGCATGTACATTTTTTTTTTATTTTTTTTTTTGTGGTAGAAGTTGTGCCATATCCGGAACAATGGAAATGAGAAAAAGATGACTGGCTGAAAAATCAAATTACAAATGAAGGACTACGAATTATAGGATTTCTTAGTTTTGAGAATTGCTTGTTATTTTTAACAGATTTTTTACGATATGATTCAATCTATGCAAAAAGATTACATGACACATGTATTATATATATATGTATACATGGAGAGAGAGAGAGAGAGAGAGAGAGAGAGAGAGAGAGAGAGAGAGAGAGAGAGAGAGAGAGAGAGAGAGAGAGAGAGAGTTATTGCTAGAGCTTGGGTGAACACAATTTCGTACTCATTGCTTGCATTTTCATTCTTTTCTCCTGAACCAATAGATGTTCTTTATCAGACCTTTTAAAGCATTTGTTATATTTATTTTATTTTTAGGCACTGTACAAAGAGAAAAGGTAAAACCTATGAATTAGTGATTAAATCAACACATACATAGTCGGGCTTAATGACTTTGGAGTGTCGTGGCCGTTTAGTGAATAAAGATTACGGATATATTGTCCATAATTTATTATTTATTTTACGGGAGAAGAAAAATGTTAAATAAATTACAAATTTACATTAAAAAGTTACCATTAAATGATGGAGTTATATGGTTGTGATATGTGAACTTGGATATCTAATTTTTTGCCACGTGGATTAGCATGTCTAACTTTATGACATGTGTCCGATTGAAAACTCTCCTTTAATATATATAGAGATAGAGATATAGATAGGTCACCGCCTAGGGCTGCAGCATTGGGTGGGCCCCATATGTGCATATATATATATATATATATATATATATATATATACAGACATATTGTTAAAATTTAGTGCGAATAAATATAGATGAAAAATGTAAAATTCATAAAATAAGTGATTTAATAAAAATGTATAGAATGAAACTATTGAAACCTCTCAAGAAATTTTTGAAATTGATTATTTTCTTCTCATAGTTAATGGAGCTATGTCATTTGTACAAAGTAGATTTGAAAATTAGAAAAAAAAAACATTTGTCTTAACTTTCAAAACTCTCAAAACTCCTTAAAACAATATGATAGTTTAGATATTGAATGTTTAGAATTATTTTATGTACTAAAAATTTTAAGGCAAAATATAAATATTGAGAATAATAATCCAATTGACATACTTAATTATAATAAAAGACTTAATTCTTTTCTAAATGTTTATATTGCATATAAGATAATGTTAACTATTCTCATAATAGTTGGTTCAGTAAAAATAAATATTTCTAAACTTAAATTAACAATAAAATAATATCACAAGACAGGTTAAATGGATTAGCTAGTAAATCAATAGAAAAAGACTCAGTAGAAGATATAGATCATGAATAAACTTAACAATACTTTAAAATTAATATGCAATAAAGATAACCTTAATATGAATGATATTTGAAAAAAAAAAGGTTTCAACTCCACTTGGCATAGGTTGACGGGTTTATAGTTTTCGGTCCCAAGCCTTAAAAAATGGGAAGAGATTATTTTTATTCTTTTTTTTTTTTTAAATTTCTTCATTATCAAAAAGGCCTTGATTTTAGAGCTCGCCTTAAGCCACAAAAATGTTGAGCCGCCTCTGCATAAACTGTATTAAGCCTGCAATGAAAAGTAGAATGTGCATCATAAGCATGAACTATATATATCAACGAATTTGTGTAAGAAACAATAAAGAGTGCTATACTACTATACTATAATTGTGGCCATGGACTCTATGTCGTAGAAAACGATATGTTTATTCATTTGATGTATAAAGATTTAATAATAATTTTAAAAAGTCCTTCTGAAGAATTGAATGAAACTATATTAAATTCTTTTGCATTAGGGCCGATCGTATGTAATACTTGTTCTGTCTTAGAAAAATAATTCGAATTTTGAAATTTGTACTGTATTAATTTTAGTACATATTTAAAAAATTGAATGTGAATTATGTTTTGGGACAGAAGAATAATATTTTTAAATGCTTGTAAATATCAGTCCAGTGACATTCACCTAATATAACTCTCGGGAATTTTGTCCAACAATAATAATAGCCGTGAAAAATGAAAAGAAAGCAGGTTCAGACAATGTAAAACCGGACCAAACTTTTTTTTATATATAATGAAGGAAGCAAAAATCTAAGAAGAATAAAAGATTACAGCACGTTGATATGAGATACCAACTAAATCATTATATAACCATGGTTTTAAATCGGACCAAACTTTAAACGACTAGGTCCTATATATTCTATTGGCAGTGGAAGTGGCCTAAAAAGAAAGCAAATGCCACGGTAATTAATGGTTCAAATTACCCAAGCGGGTTATAGCTGAATAAAAGTGGCTTATCGTCTGAATCGCACTTCAATATTCTCCCTTTTTCTTTTTCTTTTTTTTTTCTCCAAACAACACAAAATAGTTACTCATCTTGTCGACTCTTAACATCAACCTGTACAGCAGAAATAAAAATCACGGGTGCAACTGCAATCATACTGGTCCTCTCCCATCCTCTCCAACTCGTAGAATGAAAGCAAAGGAGAGGCACTTTTACTATTTCCTAGGATCGAAAATTTGTTAATTAACGTAATTTTAACGTGGAGTGAAGCAATCTTAGTGCAACAAAAGTATGAAGCATCGCCCAAAGATCGTGCGTTTCAACCCATAAAATAAATATCTAACTGAAGTAAAGCATGCATATCCCGTGCAATCTTTCTATTCAAAGCATGAAACATCATTCCCTAATCATCTTTTTTTGTTCAATGAAATGGAATTAATCAGCCTCTAACAATATACTCCCCTCTAGTTCTACTTATAAGGCTCTAACTTGGACTAACTTAAATTTTAATTTGTGACTTATAATTTATGATAAGAGGGAGTAGCAATTTCCTCGTTGTCCTATTTAAATGTTTAAATTAAGTTTTTGTCATGAATAAAAAAGAGAAGGGAACACACACATGAATCCAAATTGTAAGATCGAATACATACGTTCGAATTGATCCAATTGGAGAAATAAAGCTGCTTATCATGTATTGTCCGCGAAGTTATCGATCGAATTTTACAAATATGAGGAGTAATAGAGCATGGATGGCCGCTTTTCGTGTAAAACCATTTTGTGTTTTCTGCCATTTAAGTCCCAATGTAGGAGCAAAGCATGTGCAGTTATGAATTCCAAGTCGTCCACACCTAAATCTAACTGACCTCAATTGCAAGGAAAGTTTACAAATCGTGAATTCTCTTTACAAATTATGGTATAGCGCCACACCGCCACCCTTAATAATAAAATTAGAAGCGCATTTATAATCTATATACATAGCATGTTACAAACTTTAACTCAATGCCATATGAATATTCAAGATTTCACTAGAAGAAAGTTACAAGTTCAAATGCCAACCGTTACAAAAAAAAAAAAAGAAAAAGGTAACAGTTCCCTCTCCTCACTGCCACAAAGTTATTGTATCTGTCTCGGTATTTGAAGAAAAGTTACGTTAAAAGTGAATTCAGTCTAATACAAACAATACATTATATTAGTTCACATTGTCTATGTGTATAACGTCAACATCTATTTACAATCCACAACAATAACGTGTGAGGTGTAAATGTAAATTTTTTCTATTGTTATAATAGGAACCAAAATAAAACTCAATAATGTAGTAGGATTTTGAGAAGGATATAAAAAGAAGATACCGCATAAAATTGAATGCAAAATGTAGCTATAATGGGAAAAAAATAAAATAAATTAATGTAATAACTAAAAAAAAAGAAAAAGAAAAAGAAAGGAGCCTAATCCTTAGGTCCTCCGCCTTTGAATGAGTCCCTGACCATATAAAACCCATTGACTTTGGACACTTACTCTTCCCCTTCACTGCCATGTGCCGACTCCACCGCGCTCGCGCCACCCTCGCCACCCTACCAACCACCCTCCTCCTCCCCTCCACACTTATTTCCTCTCTATATATAAAACTCAAACTCCACTCTTTGTTCTCACTTCCTCTGTTTTTTCCTCTGTTAATTTTTCACTCAGAACCCAAAAAGCTAAAAAGAAGAAAGAAACAGAGAACATGGCTGGCTCAACAACCAATCCTCCGCTGAAAGATGAGCTGGATATCGTGATACCCACAATTAGGAACCTGGATTTCTTGGAGATGTGGAGGCCATTTTTCCAGCCTTACCATCTGATCATCGTTCAGGACGGTGATCCTTCGAGGACAATCAAGGTTCCAGATGGTTTTGATTATGATCTCTACAACCGGAATGACATCAACAAGCTGTTGGGTCCCAGGGCTAGTTGCATCTCTTTCAAGGACTCTGCTTGTCGTTGCTTTGGTTATATGGTCTCCAAGAAGAAGTACATCTTCACCATTGACGATGATTGCTTCGTGAGTACCTCTCTTTCTTTTTTCCCCTTCTTATTCTCCTCTGTTTTTTTATCATGCAATTAAACCAAATGTGATTCTTTGTTGGGTTAATTAAATGGACAAAAAAAAAAAAACTGAATCTTTACGTATTTGGTGATGATTTTGATTTCTCAATTTTGGGTAGATTACGAAATTGGTTATATACTAATTAAGATTGAAATCTGCATTCTCGTTGATTGTCTCTGTTTTTGATCAGATCTCTAGGACTGTATAATATATATAGTCACTTCACTGAATTCGCTCTACTGATTCATTTCCATCTTATAATTGATTGATCTGACACTTTTCTTTTTCCCTTATATCTAATCTAATCGGTCCTTTGTTATATGAAAACAGTTGTTCATATTTGAAAGCGTTACATGCATGATACACGTAATGACAAAATCCAAATCAATTCCAATATTCAATATCATGATGTATACAACTTGATTCCTATTGTCAACCTGAGTTTTGATACGTCAACTTTCTAAACATTTAATTGCGTATTGGTATAGTTTTTGGATTTTTTCCCCCCCTTTTATGGTTGCCGGATCGCTTAGATTACTGTTTGATAAACAACAGGTTGCCAAGGACCCTTCAGGCAATGATATCAATGCTCTGCAACAGCACATTCAGAATCTTCTGTCACCATCCACCCCTTATTTTTTCAACACTTTGTATGATCCTTTCCAAGAAGGCAATGACTTTGTCCGTGGCTATCCTTTCAGCCTTCGTGAGGGTGTTCCTACTGCTGTTTCTCATGGATTGTGGCTCAATATCCCTGATTATGATGCTCCTACACAGCTCGTGAAGCCCCTCGAAAGAAACACGAGGTCATTAATACCTTGGATCTGTTTGAATTTTAGTAACAAATTTGTTAAAATTATTTGTCCTGTTTTTATTCTTCTCTTGTTCACATGTTTCCACTTCAATCAGGTATGTCAACACTGTTATGACAATCCCAAAGGGAACCCTCTTTCCCATGTGTGGCATGAACCTTGCATTTGATCGTGATCTCATCGGACCCGCAATGTACTTTGGACTTATGGGCGAGGGTCAGCCAATCGGGCGTTACGACGATATGTGGGCTGGCTGGTGTACCAAGGTATTAATGAGTAAAGTTAGAGACAGTGAATTCGATAAAAGTGGAAAATAAATCGTGACTAATGTGACACACATGAAACTTATACATTGCCCTGTTTTTGGATTTCGGAGACTAATCAAAAAATTGATTATTGATTTATTCAATGATGATGTAGGTGATCTGTGATCATTTGGGACTGGGGATCAAGACAGGGCTACCCTACATCTGGCACAGCAAAGCAAGCAATCCATTTGTAAACTTGAAGAAAGAGTACAATGGGATCTACTGGCAAGAGGAGATCATTCCATTCTTCCAGCAAGCCACACTTTCCAAAGACTGCACCACTGTTCAGAAATGCTATGTGGAGCTCTCAAAGCAGGTGAAGGAGAAGTTAGGGAAGATAGATCCTTACTTCACCAAGCTTGGAGATGCAATGGTCACATGGATTGAAGCCTGGGATGAACTCAACCCACCTAAAGATTCTGCAGCCATCCCCAACGGCGCTGCTAAATAAGCGCGGTCGCAACATTGCCGCCCCCGCCTCCATTATTATTAGCTCAAAAAAACTTTAATACTCTTTTTGATGTTGTATCTTTACAAATTTTCTTTTCGGATTTAAGTACTCATGTTTTTTGGGTACTAATGATGACTGGTTAAAAATGTAATGTTTTTGTTACATTCCTCTAAACTTGTTATTGAGGGTAGAAAATAAACAATTACTAGTTCATTTTTCGGAACTTTAGCTTCCAATATTTTACAAACCTTCTAGTATTTGAATAATCAACTCTTTCTTCTTTTCTAGCAAATGGATGGGGCTAAGATTTATTTATTTATTTTTTTGCATGTGTTTACTTGACCAGAATCCAGAAGTCTATAACATTGTTGCAATTTCAGCTTTTATGATAATTTGGAATGTTAACTTTTAGTTGGATCATTATGCAAAGCAGAGTATTACTTCTTCAAAAGCCGAGTTTCGTTAACTCTCCTTACACGAATAATTCATCCGGGGGGAGTGTATGATGAATGACGATCATGCTCTTTGCAAAATATTTCGGTGCTGCGAGTTTTTTCGTTGATGGTGTTGGAGCCTGCAAAAAGTGGAAAATGGTGACAGAGAAATAGGGAAAAAAACAAAAATGAAAAAAAGAGATTTAGCGCCGTTGCCGGGGATCGAACCCGGGTCACCCGCGTGACAGGCGGGAATACTTACCACTATACTACAACGACTTGTTGTTTAGAGATTTTGGTTGTCATTATTTAATCGGCATTAAGGTTTCTACAACAGTAAGAGTGCAATTAGTTTTTTTTTTTTTTTTTCCTTCTTTTGTTTAGAAAATAGATCGCCTAAATTTCGTTATCAGTCGTTCTCAAAGCCACTATAAATTAATGTTATTGGGTGTCCATTGGTTTCATTGGCCTGAAAAATCAGTTAATTTACTGTTTTTGGGCCGTAAAATCATTACGAAATGAGCATTAGTGATGTAGAAATAAAAAGAAGTTCCATGAAGTGGTAACTACACTTGTGTGGCAAGTTTTGTAACACCGGACTAAAAGGACAGTTTGGAGTTATTGGCTTATTGCTTTTTTTTTTTTTTGTGTTTTTTTGAGTAAGCTTATTGCTTGTTAATTACTACTACTATATCGAAAGTTAGTTCATTTTATCTTATTTTTTCTTTTTTTTTTTAATAAGAAATCGATAATTTTACAGAAAATAGTTTAACCACAACCCACAATGACAATCACTATAAGCACTAAATATTTGATCTTACAATCTACTAATCGTTTTGAAGGATACATCTACTCAAATCCATCTCATAATAAAATCTTAATGGATGCCTCGCGTACTAAAACAAGAATATTATCTCGAACGCATGTCAAATGAAATTCATCATTTTGTAAATGAACAATAATAATAGTAAAAAAAAAAACTAAATCAACAAAATGGTGAATAATATAAGTAAATTATTTGTTTAGAACGTTTGGAATAGCGTGATATATATATATATATATATATATATATATGTATATATATGTGTGTGTGTGTGTGTGGAATGCCTCGTTTGATTTCCGATTCAGTGATTCACCCCTCTGCAACATAGTTTTACAAAAATGACGCATACTCTAACAATGTTAAATCGAATTCTCATTCTTTCATTTTACTCAAACCAGCCCTTTCCAGAATTGGTTCAAACAGGAACTGCCCGAATTCATTTTTTTGGTCCTAACAGGAACTAACCTCCTCCGTTTGTTCTATAAATTTGTCCTAATTTCACCAAAAGGAAACCAGAAGTTGGTTCCTCACTGACAAATCACATTGTTTTTAGAGTGGAGAAGTAGGCAGCCATGATGGATGCTGAGTTGAGTAAGACTGCTGGGACGTCCATAAAATGCAGAGGTGTCTTGACCTAATTTCTTCTGTATTTCTTAACATGGAACTTTCTTCAGCCATCCTTATGCATTTCATGATCCATTTTTTTCCCATAAAATGCAGAAAAACAGATTGACATTTAGTGCATGTGTGTGTGTGTGTTTGCAGCTGCAGTGGCAAGAGGAGCAGGGGAGCCACTGGTGATAGAGGAAGTTATTGTGGCTCCTCCAAAAACTGGGGAAGTTCGGATCAAAATCATATGTACCTCACTTTGTTTCAGTGATGTTACTTACTGGAAACTGAAAGTAAAGTATTATTAGTACTCCTTTATATATATATATATATATATATATATATATTCTTCCTATTCTGTTTTGATTCCGAGGAAAGATGGAATGATAAAAGTCAGAATTCTAACTCCAGGATTTCTTTTTTGCCTCTCTTCCTGTTCTTTGAAGGATCTTCCAGGTTATTTTCCCAGAATCTTGGGTCATGAAGCTGTTGGGTGAGTCATGATTTGTTCTTTAGGATTCTGCATGACTTAATTCCGCTCATCTGCAAATGTATGAATAACAGAAGAGCGACTTAAGAAAGATAGTTTCTTTTTCAGTATTGCAGCAGGTTGATTTATTTGCTTACCCCTAGTCTAGAATCAAATGGGGCCTGCCAAAATATATGGTTATGAATCTGCAAAACTGTTCCAGTTTGTGATGAGTAACCTGCAATATGTGCCTGAGAGTAGAAACGATATGACTAATAAGGGTGACAGTAAATTTTAATGTATTTTGGCCTTTTCTCTAGTTTTGATTGAACACAGCATGGCAAATAATTGGAGTTCTGACTTCCATGTTTAGAAGTAGATGTTTCTGTTTCTCTATACTTTCTAATCTGTCAAATGTATGTATCAAAATAAATGGTTCATCTTCAAATGATCTAAAGAGCTCTTTTTTTTTTTTTTTTTTCTCCCTTAGTTATATGTATAAATATCAGTTTTTCTATTTCCTTCTCATTTTTGCTTATGTTCTTAAGGGTTGTGGAAAGTGTCGGGGACAACGTTCATGACCTAAGCGAAGGAGACACAGTTCTCCCAATATTTTTGCCAGACTGTGGAGAATGCGCAGACTGTAAATCCCAAAAGAGCAACCTGTGTTCAAAGTTTCCATTTCTCGAGTCTCCTGTGATGCATAGAGATGGGACGACTAGATTTACCGATATGAAAGGGGAGAGTATATATCATTTCCTTAATGTATCAAGCTTCAGTGAGTACACAGTTGTTGATATCGCGAACGTGACCAAAATAGATCCTGTACTCCCACCAAATATAGCCTGCCTTCTTAGCTGTGGAGTCTCAACTGGTATCTTTTGGTTCTTTCATTCAAGCCTGTATTCTGGTTCCCATTAAAATGCTGAAACAATTGGTAGTTTTCTGATATATGACTTACATGTTCAGGAGTAGGTGCTGCCTGTAGGACAGCAAATGTGGAAGCAGGTTCAACAGTCGCGATATTTGGTCTTGGAGCAATCGGATTAGCGGTATTAATCAATCCCATCTTCCTTTATGCTTCTTGACTTGTTTAGATATCATTACAAGATTGATTTGTGTTATAGGTTGCTGAAGGATCAAGAGTATGTGGTGCTGCAAGAATTATCGGAATTGATATAAATCCAAACAAATACGAGATAGGTAATTAAACCTTTCATGTACAAATGTTTGCTGGTACCCCTTGTTTAGTGTTCAATCCAAATCTTTAATTTTTTATTTTTTATTTTTTGTTTTCACAGGGAAAAAATTCGGCGTCACTGATTTCCTGAACTCTGCAACTCTTGGTGATCAATCTACGAGCCAGGTCCTTACTTAGTCCATGTATTTTGCTTCTGAGTAATTCAAAAGTTTGCTTATACTGTTTTAGAATGAGTGTGTTACACACAAAAATGGCAGCTTAGTTCAAAGTAGAGGGAAAAAGGCAATTTACTTTGTGTTGCTGTACTGAGTATATAAGCTGGTGGAAGGTTTCTGAAATTATTGTTCGAGATCATACCCTATTGTGCCACAGTGACATTGATTGGGCAGGTGATCAAGGAGATGACTGATGGAGGAGCAGATTATTGCTTTGAATGTGTTGGTACGGCATCACTGGTTCATGAAGCATATGCCAGTTGCCGAAAGCTATATTCAAACGCCGTCTGTGTTAGCGATTCTATCCTACATCAGGTTCGCTACATAGCAATGACTAAGACACTGAGATTTGTAGATTTGTGTTGTAATCTCAGGGCTGGGGAAAGACAGTTGTAATAGGAGTTGACAAACCAGATTCCCAGCTCATTTTCAAATCCGCGGAGGTGCTTCAGAGTGGGATAACACTCCAAGGATCTGCTTATGGAGGGCTCAAACCCAAGTTAGACATTCCAGTTCTGGTTCAACGATGTTTGAAGAAGGTAAACTACTCATGCATGTTTACATTTTTCTGGAAATTCATGTAAGAGTTTATGCTTCAATATTCATTACTGTAACCTCCAAAAATGATCCATTCTTTTCAGGAACTGGAATTGGGCAAATTCGTAACTCATGAGGTGGGACTGGAGGACGTTAATAAAGCTTTTGACTTACTGATAGAAGGAAAGAGCCTTCGCTGCGTGATTTGGATGAACAAATAAGTCCTCCGAAGTGCTTATCGCACCATATTATTGCATATCTTGCAGGGTTTCAACTTGCCTTTTGCTGTAACAGGAATAATCTATCCATGAATAAATTGACCAACATTTTAGATTGTGGTCTAAAACTGTTGCTGAATATGCAGAATGATAAGAAAGGATGAAAGAACGATATGATCAAAATTTAACCAAAACTGACATTGCTCCAAAATTATAGAGATTTCACTCAAATTATCCTTTTCCACATCACATGGCAGCTTGGCAAAACTACTCGAGTGGGAGACACTCCTCTCAATACAACACAGGTTCTTCCTCTGCAATGGCAAAGAAAAAGGGAGAGATGCTCTTTAGCCATTTAGGGGGTCCATGAAGACTTCTTAAGCTATGAATTAGGTGTAGAATCTTCAGTCTTCTTACGCTTTGCAGCAGGCTCTTCACTGTCTTCATGTTTGATAACACCATTTACAGCGTCTGCACCCAATAGAGACACGTGCTTGCTAGTAATCTGACGGCCTGCCCTAAGTTTTGGTCCCCAATGCCTTTCTGGGTTCGGAAGAAACCTTGCGACCTTCTTGGCTTGTGCCTTGCTTAGAGAAGCGACGGCTCGAGCAAAATTAGCCTAAATTGCACATAATGAGAGACAGGTGTTTCAGAGAATAATTCAAATGAAATGTCCAAAAAAAAACCTTGGATTTCGGGAACGCATAACTAAGAACATGCAAGAGAAGGAAAAGGGAAACAAATATATAAAGACTTTGTACACAAAATATACCTGCAGAACAGGTTCCTTAGCGAGGATCACACTTCCAGCTTGCTCTGGAGGTTGAGCTTTCACAGGATGGTTTTTGACCTGCAAAGGGAATCACCTAATCAGCTCAAGCTTTTACAAAAGGAATCACTTAATCCACTCAAACTTTTACAAATGCAAGGCACGCCGAACCATCAGTAGCTCCAACGCAGTAGGTAATGACATGGCATACATGCAGTTTTACAAGTATGACAAAGTTTAGGTTGCAGTCAGTTATTTTCAATACTTTTAAGTGTGTTATGTAAAAGACTTTAGTTTCAGATCATTAGCATTCCTAGTCAGCCATCAACGTCTTTACAGAATACCATCTATCACCTCAAAAACTAGGACTCTCAGTTCAGAAAGTGTAAATGAAAGGAAACTTACCCAGCAGCGCATTATATCCCAAATCACATCCATTGGAGCATCTGTTTTCAGCCCAAGGGGGTTAACATGAGTTCCTGATATACGATATCCAGCATTGATCACAGCAGACCGGAATATAACTGCCGACGGAGAGGTGCATTTGAGGGTCGCACACAGATTATGCAAACTCAGAAACAGCGGCACATCCGGCAATTCCTAAAATATGAGACTTAAAAAAGTTAGAACATAGAACATAGCATATACACAAAAATCAAACTAATTAAACAGCCAATTGTCTCCAAAATCTGTATCTCCATGACCCAAAACCATGAAAACTGATGTCATCAGCCTTGACGAAATGTCCAAGAATCCAGGCAAGAAAACAAAACTAATTGAGAATTTACAGAAACCAGACTATTCTTTATCCACGTGCAGTGTGCACATCAAGAAGCTATTGCAAAATTCAGGCCACAACCATAAAAAAGGATGTGCAATAAAGATCATCAACATAGTAAATTTTGAATCAAAAGAAAATGATTTTTGAATAAGACATCCCCGGCAAAAGTGGAACAATATCAATGTTTTTACGATTAATAAACAAAATTCATTTTCCCTTTTATACTTTATAATCCTCTCAACACATATCAATCAAATACAAATTCAAAACAGATCCTCAAAAGTTCCCTTCTACCTTGTGCAGAAATGAGAAACCCAAAAGTAAAATTCACACTCTCTCCAATGCAAACTTAAAGACCAGGACAAGAACAAAGCTAGAATTCTACAAATCTATTGAAACATTGCAATCACTCTTCAACTGATAACAAATAAAAGTATTATGAATAAACCAAAACAGACCTCTGAAATTGTTGTCAACACAGCAGATATACGATCATAAGCTGGATAGTGATTCTTCATTGCTTTTACATCTTCAACCATGGAAGCAACCCATTCTTGGTCATGTATGGGGGCAGACCATATAGGTCCACCCATGTTATACTTTTTGCCACAATCAGTGCACTCTTGGGGAACAACAGGACCAAATCCAGGAAGATATCTCACACTGGTATTCTACAAGAGAAACCAAATATAACAACAGTACAGTATGCATAATAATGGCACCTAATGAAAAACAAAAAGTTCAATGGGAACTCCGAAGGGCATGAAGCATTCAACTAGATAAAATAACTCGCTTCACACACCATGTATCAAAATACAACTGTGAACATATACCTTAGACACTGTCCTTGCAAGTGGCTGAAGGTGATACGAATCGCATCCAATGCATTGATAAAGATAAGAGAGCTTTAGGGGAGTGTTTTTCATTTCACTTGCTGAACTGCAACAAATAATTTCGCAGTTAAAACAGAAGCATCTAACAGTACATTAATAAAACTTGCTCATATTACTAGAGAAAATAGCCCAACCACACATTATCAGAAAGTGGGAGGAATGAGAAACACTTACGTGTATACACGAACAAAAACACGCACGTAAAAGTCCATCTGTACAGATAATACTGGGACAATGTATCTTTTATACCGATTAGCATGGCTCTGCATTATTGAGAAGGGAAAAAAAATCATATTAAGATGAAGCAACTGACAAAAGGGCAAAAATACCATAACTGAAAGAAGAAAATTACCCTTCAACATAAATAGGTAATTTTGAACACAAAAGGATGTTTTAAGGAAGAAAAATTTTGCATAGTTGTGGTATAAATCCCTACCATATGCTCAGAATAAACATTTTTTCTTGTGAAAATAAAATTACCTCAATGCAGGCCAGAAGGATCCTCAAGGCCAATTCGTGACAATATTTTGCCCTCACAGGATAGGAGCCATACCTGTTTCAAAAAGCAACAAGACATACCTTTTACTACGTGCAAACATCTAGATATTTTTGCTCAATAATAGATATCAAGAAACAGCAAACCTTACTTGGAATAGCAAACCTCTCCATTACCCCCACAAAGCACAGCCATATCAGTAGCAGTACACATAAGGACACCACCATCAACAACAGACTGAATAGCAGAGTCCAGAAACACAGATGGTGACCCGTAAGGATCAAGATCTACCTGAAATACAAACAGAAGTACCATGAGAAAGAAACAATTGGAAATAAGGAAGTCAAAGAAGGAAAAGAGCATACAGAACCAAACATATGTCATCTAGATGGATCGAAGCGAAGATATAGAATAGCATTAAACGTAACTTCCTAGCACTACCAAAAAAGAGCGTTCTATAAAGGTCAAGGGTAGCATATATACCACATCAAATTCTTTTGGATGGGTAAGCATGTAAACTCTTGCATCGGCAAGGTTAGATTCCACCTTCGAACCAGCTACTGAACCATTGAACTTTATATTTCGTCTGCACGCTTCAACTGACACTGTAACAAGAGATATACCATATACCATGGATTAGACAAGCCAATAAGCAGCTAGAAAATTCTAATATATCTATTCTCCATGATTTGTTCTTTGCTAATATTTCTCACATCTGATTGGAGTTTGGAAGAGATAAAAACACTTCACAATTTATTATCACGCTACCTTATTGTGTATGGATTAAGGATATAAAAATACCTGGATCATTGTCCAACGCCACAACCTGACCAATTCCTTCAATTTCCCTTGCATATCTAATAGCTCTCAACCCAGAAGCAGACAAAGCCTTTAAAAAGATGAAAAGAGAAAAATAGGAATTAAATGATGTTAATAAGATCTTTTAGTAGAAATGCAAATTACAGCTGCAAAGCTGCTAAAAGATGCAACAAGAAAACATATTGAAATAATCATAGACCTCAAGAACTCGAGGTGGTTTCAGTTCTCCTTGGCTTTTTACTTCTTGTTTCTCGACTACTTTCTCCGATACGGAAGGTTCACAATCCATTGGTTTTTCTGACTCTTTGCATTCACCATTAGATTTTCCATCCTGAGTAATTGAACCACTTGGAGCTTCTTGTAGGTCAACAGGTTTATCCGGCGACTTTCTTGCTGTTTTCTTTCTTTTGGACAACATGGCTTCATGCTCCTGCTGTCTTATTTTAATGAATGTCCTCAGAACGGCAATGGACATATCTCTGTTATTAACCTGCCAGTAAGACAACGCTCCTCCAAGGTAAGTTCTTTCACGTACAAGTCACCTAACATACCCTAAACTCTCAATATCTTCGGACTACACAACATTACAAATAAACCAAGTCTAGCAACCAGGTAACAGCAAGGCCATGAGTACTAAAATCCACATGACTTCGTTAGAATGTTCAACTCCACAAACAGAAAGCAATATGCAGTCTATAATCCCTACCTTTCAGATAATAAACTTCAGAAATTTCTCAACTAATTGGAACTGCCAAATTGAAGTTTTCAATATAACAATAAAACTGTTGTAATTCGTATACCAAAAACTATACTAATTGAAAGTTGAATCAAGTGACCATTAGCAATTGAAGTTCAACATAAAGATACAATTTTTACTAATTGCAAAATATTCGGGAAACATTAAATGAAATCTCTGATAAATGCAAGACCTGGGTTTTATTGTAGAACACTTCATTCTTCGCATGCATTAGTATTTCAGCCTGTCCCTCTTTGATGACAGTGTAGTCATTGAGATCAAAAGAAGCAGCTTTTGAGGTATCCTTATGCTGCTGTATCTCTTCATCCCCTGTTTTCTCCACTGCAGTGCCAGCCCCCATGACGAAAATCTGTTATTCCTTATGATACAAACCCCTTACACCTTCAGCTAATTGCTCCACCACCTCCTTCCTTAATTGACGGCGGCGGCGAGGTTGTAAGGCGGACTTATTAGAAATTGCAAACAGAGGGAGGCTCTGTCCTTCAGCTGAAATAAAATGCCAAAAAAATAAAAACCAACCAGGAAAAAGGGGGTTAATTATAGATTTCGGTAAAAGTTCGAAAAAGCGAAAGGCCTTAAATAGATAAAAGTGCCAATTTACATTGGGTTTTGGAAAGGGATGCTGCAAAAACCCTACCTCGGATTTCAGTGAGAAATATTCCGCGCAACTCTAAACCGTAATACAGTAGTATTATTATAAAACTGTATAAAAAAAAAAATAAAGTCCGCAAAAATATAGAAAAGGAAAATTTTGAAAATATACCTAATGGCTTCTATTCTTGTTTCAAATTTTCAATTCTTCTTTTACAGGACGTTTTACCCTGTTCTTGAATTGAGCAGAGATAGAAAAGAATTGGGTATACAAGGAAATCACTAATTCGAACAATTTGTTGGGTAAGTTCTTTTATTATGTCTTTTTACTATTTAAAAAGAGGGCAGCCAAGAAAATTTTCTTGAAGAAATATACGAGGGATGCTTACAAAATTAATACTACAGAAGTAAAATAAGTACAAGTTGACGCCAATGTCAGCTTTCTCCGGGATTGCTCGGAGTTAGGGGGAAGAGTGGGGCGGTTAAATGTGGAGAGGATGGGGCAAACTGACCCAAGTGGGTTTAGTGTTTACTACTCTTTACTAGTTATGGAGCACGACAAAGTTTTAATTGAATTGCGGTCAAAATTAGACTTTAGAGACCTGTAATATTAAATAGTTAAGATTAACACTACTAATTACACTATAGAATTCAAGTATTGTGAATGGAAAAAATTAATGTTTGATAGATTAACTTCTTTGGACAAGTTTGTCATTTGAGAGCTATGAGATTACGATGAGAACACGTTGATCAGCTCGCTGAAAAACACAAATTAAATAATTTTATAAACAAGAGAGAAATTTTCAATTGAATTAGCCAGATTGGAACAAGGAGCTCAGTTCCTTGGGGAATATAAAGGGTTCCTCAAAATCATCTCGAGCTATATTACAAAGTTAGTGAATGAATTGATTGAAATTGAAAAAGTTGTAGTTACGGATGGAGTACAAAAACATAAAATAAAATTGTTCTAATTTCAAAGATTAAAATGTTTATATTGCTCACTTTAGCTTCTTTTTTTTTTTTTTTTCCATATTGCAGGGTGTTCACCATCAGTAATTAATCTCTCTCGCTCATGATAGACACCTCGATGGATGGGAGAGCTGGCCAAAAAATTAAAGGTTACTCACTTCTTTTTATATATATATATACTGTGGAAGCTTTCGCTTAAGTCTACAAAATCTCGCCTTGAGGGGGAGGCGAGATGTCAAAAGATAATTTATCAAGTACAATGTCCGGGGTTGATGCCAAAATATATAACCCCGAATTTAGATGATAGACCTAATTTAGTTAAGGAGTCTGCGACTTCGTTTCCTCCACGTTTTATATGTGAGATCTCCACGAGCCATTAGTGTTTAAGTAGGCTTCGGATTCTCAACAGAATATTACTAGAACCAGGGTGTGAATCTTCTTCATCTTCTAAGTTCTTGACTGCAGTAGTACTATCCATCTGCAGTTGCACATGTCTGCAGCCCAATTGCCAGGCAATTTTTAAACCAAAAAAAGCTCCCCGGTATTCTCCTTCGAGAACAGAGCATGAGTCAACCTTAGCTGTGTAGCTAGATATCCATAATCCTTCGTGATTCCTTAGGACGCCTCCCGATGCCGCCAATTTAATAGCAGCACAGACTGCGCCATCTGTATTGAGAAGAATCCACGGCCAAGGTGGGGGCTTCCAGATTTGGATTCGATTTTGGGGTGTTGTCCAGCTACCTTACAATGTTCTTTTTATGATAAAGTCTTGTGATTTCTTGTGCTGCAGCCATAATGGAGAAGACGAGACTCCTAGAATTGATGTGTTTATCGGCAAAATCTCATCGTTTCTTGCTGTCCACAGCTTCCAGCAGCCTACTGCAAATGTTGTTGTCCAGTCTGCATTCCCTACGAGACAGACCAATTTAAATTAGATAGGAGCCATTTAGTCCAGTTGGATTCAAGCCAAAAGGTCAAATACAGGTTACTGTTGACGTGGTTCCACGCCTGTTTTGATTTAAGACAATCCCTAAACTGATGAAATTGGTTTTCAGGCTGAGAACAGAAGAGACACGCATCCGAATCGGATATGTGCCTTCGTTTCCTTTCAGCATTTGTTAACAAGGATTGCCTTATCAGTGACCATAAGAAGATTTTTATTTTTTCTAGTCCTTGCCAATGCCATGCTGCTTTCCATTTTCCATCTTCTGGTTCCCATTGACTGAGATTCAGAGCTTTGAAGGCAGAAGAAGTGGAGAATTTTCCAGATTTGGTCCACTTCCAAACTGGCTTGTCTAGTCCCATTTGTGGTTCAGGAGGTGGTACTGCCATGATCATTCTTCGCGTTGCTTCGTCTGTCCAAGGCTCAATGGCTGTCCAATTCCAATTCCCACGTTGATCAATATAATCCTTGACCCCGAGCTTCAGAAGATGATCCGGAACTCTTGAGGTTGCTAATTGGAGGAGAGGATGATCTATGTCCAGCCATAAGTCTTCCCAGAAGAATATCCTTTCCCCGTTCCCCACGAGCCACTTTATTCCGCCTATTGCAGTGGGCCAAATCTTAGCCAACTGCTTGCCTAGGTGTGGCATCTTCCCAGGTTGCTGGAGAGGGTTGGATGTTTGGCTGGAGGCATACTTAGCCTTAAAAATATCAGTCCACAGTGATTTCCTTCCCGAAATCAATTCCCATGCTAGTTTTAACACCAGAGAAATATTTACATCTCGGAGCTTCTTCAAACCCAAGCCACCATGTTTTTTCGGTTGACAGATGTTATTCCGGTTGACCACATTCATTCTTTTTTCGCCCTGCTTTGACCCTCACAGGAATTTCCTCCTCAGTTTGTCGATCTCATCACTAACTCCTTTGGGGATAACCTTCGATTGCATTATATAAACAAGAAAAGCAGCAAGAACTGACTGACAAAGGGTTAGGCGACCAGCCATACTAATTTTATGGGGATTCCACCCTTTAGTTTTCTGTTCCACCTTGTAGATTAGAGAATTGAAAGACTCTTTTTTAATTCTACCATGTATTATCGGAACACCTAAATATTTCTCTAAATTATTTACTAACTGAACATCGAGAAGCTGGCTGAGGGAGGATGCTAGATCATATTCAACGTTAGGCGAGCAAAACATGACAGATTTGCTAGGGCTAACCATCTGACCAGATGCTTGACAGAAGAGGCATAGGGTTTCTCGGATGTTCTTGACCTGGTCTAAATCGGCTTCTACAAAAAGTAAAAGATCATCAACAAAAAATAAGTGTGAAAGAGAGGTTTGGTTGTTACCGAACGTTAGAGGCTTCCATCTGCCGGAGTTAACTTCTAGATTTATTGCATGCGAAATTCTTTTCATGCCCAAGACGAATATATAAGGGGAGAAAGGGTCTCCTTGACGAACACCCCTGCTTGGCTTGAAAACTTCTCCCATCTGACCATTCTTTTCAGTTATTTTCAATACTTTTAAGTGCGTTATGTAAAGGACTTTAGTTTCAGATCATTAGCATTCCTAGTCAGCCATTAACGTCTTTACAGAATACATCTATTCCCTCAAAAACTAGGATTCTCATTTCAGAAAGTGTAAATGAAAGGAAACTTACCCAGCAGCGCATTATATCCCAAATCACATCCATTGGAGCATCTGTTTTCAGCACAAGGGGATTAACATGAGTTCCTGATATACGATATCCAGCATTGATCACAGCAGAGCGGAATATAACTGCCGATGGGGAGGTGCATTTGAGGGTCGCACACAGATTATGCAAATTCGGGAACAGTGGCACATCCGGCAATTCCTAAAATATGACACTTAAAAAACTTAGAACATATATACACAAAAATAAAACTAATTAAACAGACAATTGTCTCCTCAGCCTTGACAAAATGTCCAAGAATCCAGGCAAGAAAACAAAACTAACGATTACCCATGTGCAGTGTGCACATCCAAAAGCTATTCCAAAAATTCAGGCCACAACCATAAAAAAAGGAAGTGCAAAAAAGATCCTCAACATAGTAAAGTTTGAACTCAAAAGAAAATGATTTTTGAATAAGACAGCCCCAGGAAAAATGAAAAAATATCTTTGTTTTTACGATTAATGAACAAAATTTATTTTCCCTTTTATACTTTATAAGCCTCTCAACATATATCAACCAAATATAAATTCAAAACAGATCCTCAAAAATCCCTTCTGTGAAGAAATTGGAAACCCAAAAGTAAAATTCTGACTTTCTCCAATCCTAACTTAAAGACCAGAATAAGAACAAAGACAGGTTTCTATAAATCTATCGAAACTTTGCAGTCACTCTTGAGAGTTATAACAAATAAAAGTATATCTTTAGACCAAAACAGACCTCTGAAATTGTTGTCAACACAGCAGATATACGATCATAAGCTGGTGTAATGATTCTTCATTGCTTTTACATCTTCAACCATGGAAGCAACCCATTCTTGGTCATGTATGGGGGCAGACCATATAGGTCCACCCATGTTATACTTTTTGCCATAATCAGTACACTCTTGAGGAACAACAGAACCAAATCCAGGAAGATATCTCACACTGGTATTCTACAACAAAGAGAAACCAAATATAACTGTACAGTAGGCATAATAATGGCACCTAGGGGAAAACAAAAAGTTCAACGGGAACTCCGGAGAGGCCAATGAAGCATTCAACTAGATAAAATAACTCAATTCCCCCATTCAGTGCAATGCAACCATGTACCAAAATGCAAATGCGAACATCTAGTTATTTTTTCTCAATAATGGATATCAAGAAACAGCAAACCTTACTTGGAATAGCAAACCTGTCCATTACCCCCCATACAGCACAGCCATATCAGTAGCAGTACACATAAGAACACCACCCTCAACAACAGATTGAATAGCAGAGTCCAGAAACACGGATGGCGACCCGTACGGATCAAGATCTACCTAAAATACAAACAGAAGTAACATGAGAAAGCAACATTTGGAAATGATGAAGTCAAACAAGGAAAAGTGCATACAGAACCAAGGAAAAGGCTCTGTCCTTCAGCCGGGAAAAAAAATACACTAAAACAAAAGGGTTAACTCTAAACCATAGTAGTAGTATACTTTTCAAAAAAAAAAAAGAAATACGTTGTAGTACTATAGTTGAATCATAAAACTGTATAATAAAATAATACTCACTAAAACCAGCAAAATATAGAAAGGATAAATTTTGATTTGGCACTTTATGCTGTCTACAGATGTTCAAAGTTACAAAAATTTTCTGCGGACGTAATGGGGTATGGGGTCAAAAGCACCAATCCAAAATACAGAAGAACAAAACAGGACCAAACCAACCAAAGCTATAACTAAAATAATATGGTCAACTCTGTTTCTCCAGTCACTAATCCTCTCAGCGCTTCGGCGTGAATCCTAGCGTTCTGTTCAATTTCATCTGCCCAAACGCTACAATATCTTCTGCGAACCGGATGTATGCGATCCAAACAGCGACAATCTACAACCAACGACCTTAGGTTCTGAGCATTTGACAGAATTGCCGAAATCAGTTCGTCATCCGCAATTCTTCCCCAATATCCCCTAATTTCCAGAGTCTTGAGATTTTGAATATTTAAGCTATCCGACAGCACCAAGGTTTGTCTGGGCGTGGGAACCCAATAGAGCCAGTTCATCTGTATGATTAAAATTTGAAGATAACATTCACCAAAATCAGTCACATTTCCATGAAACTCGTTAAAAAAAAATCCCCAACAAGTTAAAAAGAATTAGGGAAGAATCATTACCTCAATGATGAGAGTTTCCAAATTTGGACAATACTGGAACATTGAGGTCAATTCAAGCATAGAATGATTACTCCAGGCTTCCACATTGAGGATTAGTGTTTTTAAGCTGAGTAGTACAGCAGGGAGAGAAACCATCCGTCCAAACTCAGAAACTTCAACATTACTCAGAGTTACACCAAGGGTCTCAAGATTCATGAGACTAGTAGTAGACAGACTAGCAACAACAGCCCAGCCACCAGAACGGACGTCTTTAAGTAATGGACTCTCGTCAATCGTCAACTCTTTCACTGGACTTAAGATAAGTGCTTCCAGATTCGAATTTTTCACAGTAACACTCCTCAGATAGAGACATGAGGTGATCAGTAGTTGCTTGAGTGCCAAAGGTCCACAGACCACAACCTCTTCCAACTCTGGAGAACAAGAGAAGTTGATTGCTAGCGTCTCTAAGCAGGGGAACTCTTGTAAGAATCCATGAAAAAGTTGCCCAGACACAAGAACTGCGGATAACTTCAGAGTTTTTAAGGATTTGAACCCGGCGCGGAACAGAGCACCAAGGTTTGGGAAGGGCATCATGCAGAAATAACTTGGGGTGAAATCTAATTCAAGGTGTTCAATCCCCCTTGAGGTTGCAAACACAACCCACGCCTCCAATTCCTTCTGTAAGACTTCGTTATAAGGGTAACTGACCTTCAATCTTGTGATCTCACCCTGGTGGACTTTCAGCATGTAATTTACACGTTGCACAAAACTGAGTGCTCCGGTCGAAAACCTTCGAATTTCATCCTCCTTGGCAACAAATTCCAGATGCTTATACGTCTTCCAGACATTATTCCAGCGCTTGGAGAGAGTACTTGTCTGACCCGCCTCTTTTGGATTTAGGAAGGAGATTATTATGCTGAGCAATTCATCTGGTAAATCTGACAATCGGTCTCGCCCACCACTTGGCATTCTTGGCCGCTGTTTGGCAAACAGAACAAATGTTGTCAAGAAAACGAAAATTGAAGACAAACAGAACAAATGTTATCAAGAAAAAGAAAATTGAATTAACCAGAATAAATGTTAACCAGAAAATTGAATACCTTTACGATAGTAGAATTAGAATCAAAGCTGCCCTGCATCTTTTTGGGTTTCTGGTTTCTTGAAAAAAAAAACAGAATTGCGGAATGTTTACTGCCTGGAGAAGAAGAAGAAGAAGAAGAAGAAGAAGAAGAAGAAAGAAGACACAGGGGAAGGAGAAGTAGAAGGAATCAAGAAAAACGAAACAATGAACACATAACTTGGACTTATACCTCCTGTGAGATTTTCGGATGAAAGAGTTATATTGTTCGACTTTATATTGAGTCAATGGGGAGGACAAAGCAAACTGGTCAATTATATTATTTTAGATTAGATGACATTTCTTTTGGAACAAAAAGAGAATTGAATTGGGGATTCTTAAGATGACCTATATATGTACCCAAAAGGTACTCCTCATTATCAAATCTAAGTTAGTCAATCAAATGCCCAATATTGCACCAAAAAACTGAAGAATCTTCGAACCTCTTGATCAGATAACAAATAATAAATTTATCATTCACTGCTATACATCTTAGAAGTTACTAATACAATGACCAGAAACCAAAATTGGGAATGCCCTCAACTTCCAAAATGTACCGTGTTTGGTTGGTTTTTTTTATAGTTTTTTCATATTTTATTATTATTATTTGTCCCATCTCAGCATACATTTTTACATTTTCAATGCATCTTTTTACATTTCTAATACAAAAAATACCTAAAAACACACACTAAAAAAAATCCAAACATAAATGTTTCTAATTCTCCCTATAAGCAATGTAATCATCCAAAACGACCAAAGGAGCAGCCTTCTGGGGATCGAATTCAGATAATAATTGTTCTTTAGCATCGATGTTCAGTTGAAGTCCTCAGTTACTTCATCCGCCGCACTATCAACATTAATCTTTAGCCTTTTGGGAACGCAACGGTTTGTTGTCCAATTCAACATTAATCTTTGATCAGAACGTTTGCAAAGAACAAACTTCAAAGTTCGAACTTCACAAGATGAGGCTCTTTCCTGGTTTTGGAGTTTCTTACTACAAAGGATGCTTAAAGTTGTAATGTTCGCTACAACCATAAATGTTTCCTGCGGACTGAATGTTGAAAAGTAATGACTAGAAATGGATTTTGACCAAGTGTGAGGTTTTAGATAAAAGTTTCCATGTTACAATTCAGCAAGTAACTTCTTCGCTTTAATTAACTAAAGAAGAATATTTGCATTAAAGAATCAATCGGTGAATGAAACTATTAAGATGTTAGAACGAATACACAACCAAAGAGATATAAAGAGAAATAGATTCATGAAAGAAGATGAAATCATGAATTGTATTGTGTGCAGTAGTACATTACATTGCCTCCATTTATACGCATACATCAATATTAGTTAAGATCTAGATATTATAAAATCTGAAATAATCTAAACAAATAGATCTAGATATCATGGGCGGAACAACAATGAGCTTGTCCCGAAGTTGAAGAAAAGTCTTCGTAGGCAGAGCTTTGGTCATAATATCAGTAATTTGGGCAGGGGATGGAACATGTTGAATAGTAAGAGCTTTTTGACGAACCAAATCACGAACAAAGTGAATGTCAATCTTAATATGTTTGGTGCGTGCATGAGATACTGGATCAGCAGCAAGGCAAATAGCTCATAAATTATCGCACCAAAGAATAGGAGGTAATGAAGACAAACCAAGCTCACGGAGGAGAGAAGAAAGCCAACATAATTCAGCTGCAGCAAGAGCAAGATTGCGATATTCAGCTTTGGTACTTGAACGAGCAACAGTCGGTTGTTTCTTAGCACTCTAAGAGATGAGATTAGAACCCAAAAAGATACAATAGCCAGAAGTGGAGCGACGGTCATCAGGGCAACCGGCCCAATCAGCATCAACAAAAGCAGTAATTGAAAGGTGGGAACTCTTTGTAAGATGTAGGCCATGGGTAGGGTAGAACGTAGGTAATGTAGTATACGCTTAATAGTAGACCAATGAATATCAGTGGGACAATGGAGGAATTGAGACACTTTATTAACAGCAAATTGGATATCAGGACGAGTGACACAAAGATATGAAGAGCACAAACGGTACGCCGATACTCTGTAGGGTTAGATAAAGGTACACCATGATTTTTAGAGAGAGGTAAGGTGGGGGTTATGGGGGTAGAGACGGGTTTGGATGTGTCGAAGTGAGTGCGAGTGAGGAGATCTTGAATATACTTAGATTGAGAAAGAAGAAGGCCGGTGGATGTAGATTGAGCTTCAATACCTAGAAAATAATGAAGGGAATCAAGATCTTTGATGGTGAATGTAGAATGAAGCTCATCAATGATAGATTGAATGAAGGAAGATGAGGAACCAGTCACCAAGATGTCATCCACATAAACTAGGACAAAAGTAGTGTGTGAGGACTTAAACAAGATAAAAAGAGAAGTGTCAGATTTAGAGAAAATAAAACCAAGAGTATGAAGTTTCTTACTAAGACGGTGAAATCAGGCTCTAGGAGCTTGTTTGAGACCATATAAAGCTTTGTGAAGACAACAAACATAATATGGATATTTTGGATCAACAAAGCCTGAGGGTTGACTCATATATATGTTCTCATGAAGATTACCGTGGAGAAAAGTATTGTTCACATCAAGTTGATGGTTGGCCAATTTCGATTAAGAGCAATGGTGATGACAATGCAAATGGTAGTGGTTTGATTACCAGGCTGAAAGTATCTGTGTAATCTATGCCAGGAGATTGATGGTAGCCTTTAGCTACTAAACGAGCTTTATAGCGCTCAAGAGTCCCACCGGATTTTCTTTTAGTTCGAAAAACCACTTACAACCCACAATATTAGCATTAGGAGGAGGAGAAACTAGAGTCCAGGTTTGATTACATTGAAGAGCATTAAACTCTTCAAGCATAGCTTGACGCCAATGAGGAAATTTATTTGACTGAATAAAAGAGGTGGGGTCAGGTTCAGAAGGACAAGTAAGAGAGGAAGTATAGGTAACATAATCATTTAAACGGTTAGACTTACGAGTTGTGGTACGAGTGGTCATGTGATGTCTTGGTGGTGGTGGTGGTCTAGGCGGGGAACTAGATGGTGATGGAGATGGTCTAGGCGAGGAATTAGATAGTGGTGAGAAGAAAGCCTTGTTGAAGAAAGAGTCTGTGTCGTAGGATTGGAAAAAGGTACAAAAGGAGGAGAAATACACATTGGTAAAGGAAGCAACACTCGTGATGATGAAGTTGGAGAAGACATAGAAGTTTGAGACGTAGCATAAGGAAAATTAGTTTCAAGAAACCTTACATGTCGAGAGATGTAAAGTTTGGAACTTTTGGGATCAAAGCAACGATATCCCTTGTGTTGGGAAGAGTAGCCTAAAAAGACACAAGGAATTGATTTAGGGGATAATTTGTCAGCATGAGTAGACCCAAGAAATGAGAAGCAAGTGCACCCAAATACTCGAAGGTGAGAGAGAGAGGAAGGATTGGAAAAAAGAACCTCATGAGGAGATTTATTAGTAAGAACTGGAGTAGGAAGGAGATTGATTAGATAGGTGACAGTGAAAAAAGTTTCAACCCAAAAGGATTTGGGAAGAGAAGCATGAAGAAGAAGAGTAAGCCTAATTTCAGTGATATGACGAATTTTTCTTTCAGAAACTCCATTTTGTTGAGGAGTATGGGGACAAGATATGCGATAAGAAATACCATGATTACGAAGAAAATTAGCAAAAACACCTTTCACAAGTTCGGGAGCAACATCACATTGAAAATATTTTATACAAGTAGAAAATAAATTTTCAGTAAATGACTTAAAATTTTGGAAAGCATGAAAGGCATCCGATTTATTAGTAAGTGGATAAATCCATGTAAAACGACTAAAGTCATCGATAAAAATAATAAAGTATCGGTAACCTGAAAGAGAGAGAGACAAGGACTTGGACCCCAAATATCACAATGAATTAAATGTAACGACACTTTAGAAACACGAAAAGATGGAGTAAAAGGAATTCGAGCACTTTTTGCATTGCAAACAAGAATTACAAGAATTTATTTTGGAAGATTTAAATGACAAAGATCGAGCTAAAGATGAAAGAGTTGAGTGACACGGATATCCGAGATAGTGATGACAAAGATCAGGAGGAACAGTACGAGCAGCGAGAGCTACAGGATTGTGGAATGTCGTAGGAATCTTCATAAGATAGAATTGTGGATGTCACCCACGAGAAGCGGAGTCTTGTGACTAGATCCTTCCCAACATAACCAAAAGGAGAAAATTACATTAAACATGAATTATCAGTGACAAATTTTCCAACAAATAAAAGGTTTGTAGTGAGCTGGGGAACAATGTAAACATTACGTAAATAAAGAGGTTTTGGGTACTTGGTGAGTGCAGTGTGACCAATAGAAGTAATAAGAAGAGTAGTACCATTGCCAACAACCACTTGCTGATTACCATGATATGGAGTGGTAGAATCCACTAAAATAGGATCAGGTGCCATATGAGCCTGGACGCCAGAATCAGGAAGCCATTCAAGGATGTCACTAGATGTAAAGGATAAAAAGTCTTGAGGTTGGGGTTCTTGGACAGTGGAGGTGTGAAAAGCAGTAGGCATGTTTGTGGGAGCAGAAGAACGATGAGTTTGATTATTGCGAGATTCAGCGTATCGAAAATGACAAACAACAGCAGAATGGTTGAATTTTTTGCAGATTTGGCATTGGGTAGGATTGGGTTGTTGGGTAAAGTTGGGGTAAGGGCTAAAGGATGAGGTATAAGGCTTATAGGGAGTAGAAGGATGGGTGGGGAATTGGGCTTGGTTTGGGCAATTTTGGATAGTGTTGAAGGGACAGTGTGGACCGTATGAATTGAGATTGGGATAAAATGAGTGCGGAGTTGAGTTATTAGAAAACTAGGGAGAGAATTGACCACGGCCTGAATTGGGTTGTAACTGTTTACCACGAGACCGAGAACTATTGACTGGAAAGTTCACAGTAGTATGGAGTGCAGCTTCTGGTGAAGGCAAAAATGATTGCAAACGTTGCTCATAGAGAAGCAGTTTTGCTCGAAGATCTGTGAGTGAGGGAGGAGGGTTGAGATTCTCCATAGTGGTGATGAAGGAAGTATATTCAGATGAGAGATTGTTAAGAGCGAGAATAACAAGATCATGATCAGAGATAGTATCCCCAACATCAGAAAGCTCTTCCGCCGTAGTTGATAATGAAGTGAGAAAATCATTGACTGTGAGAGAACCTTTCTTAAAATTGTGAATTTTTTGGCGTAGTTGCGATCTACGCGCTATAGATTGTTGAAGAAAATGATGCTCGAGTTTGACCCAAAGGTCACGAGCAGTAGGACACTCCAATGCCACCGATGCCATTGAAGAAGACCACGAGACAGTGAGACAACATTTGACAAGGCGATCAAGTTTTTGCCATTGAAGAAATTCTTTTGAAATAGTAGAATCAGATGAAGAGTCTTTTGGTGGTAAAATTGAACAATCGATATAACCATTGAGATCAGTGGTAATTAAAATTCCTTCAACTTGATCTGTCCAAATTAGATAGTTGGAGTTATCAAGAGATACGGTGATAAAATTTGTGATATTAGAGAGAGGAAATGATTGAGTAGTAGTGAGTGATTGTGAAATAGTCATTTTAAAACAATGGTGATTAGAGTAAAAAGAAAAGGAAGAAAGCAAAATAAAATAAAATAAAATAAAATAAGTGTAGTAGTATGTGAAATAGTGTGTGCAATAGTGATTTTTGGAAGTAATCGGTGGTGGGATAATGTGAAGAAAAAAAAAATAGTGTAGGATCGATTTTGCTCTGATACCATGATGAGAAATAGATTCACGAAAGAAGATGAAATCATGAATTGTATTGTGTGCAGCAGTACATTACATTGCCTCTATTTATAGGCATATCTTACTATATTAGAAACAAAAACCACACTTAAGAGAAAGCACCACCGTTTGCCATGTGGCATTTTCACATCATATTTTTAAAATAAATTTTTATTTACACATCTCCTAGACTTAAAAGACAAATGCAGTCCAAATCCATCTTCACCTCCTATTTTCGCAAAAAAAAACCATGTGTTCATAAAAAACTCAAATCCTCATCCCCATCTCCACGACAAGCGACTCTCTAATCAATCCCTTCTACAAAAAAAAAAAAACAAATTTCTCATCAATCATCAATTGAGAATATGTGGTGAAATATACTCCTTTCCTATTAGCATGTTAAATTTTTTCATCAGTGATGATCAACTACATCCTAATCTGATAAAATTTCGAGTTCAAAAAATATTCTCTTTACCTCACTATATAAAACAAAGGAAAAAAAAAATTCTCATTGATCTTGCTTCGGCCATTATGGTGGTGTCATTACAAGTATTAAAATTTAAATGATTTTATTTCCGCAGATCATTTGTTTGGCTTTCATTATTTTTTGTTTTTCCCGTTCAAGAATAGTGTTATTACTATTATTTTTATGCGTCCATCCGTTACAGCTACCGTACCCGTTGTCAAGTAATATTATGTGATTTCTTATATGGTTAGTTAGCCTAGAATTTTTGTATAATTTTAGTTCTGTTTGGATTGGATTGATTAATTGGGTATTACAAAGTGTGGTTTTTAAATTTTTTTTTTTTATGTTTCATTCAATTAGACTGGTTTTCTTTTTTTAATTATGGAGTCTCAGGTTTTTTTTCGTTTATGGTCAATTATGAAGTGTGTTTTTTTCTTTGTTTAATTGCTTTTGATTTTGTTTCATACTCCCAGTTGACCAATTATTATTATTATTATTTTATTTTATTTACAAATGAAGCGCTTTTTTGTGGTGTTCGGTCTTTCAAGAATATACTTTTTTAGATTTAGTTTTTGGACTTTTTTTAGTTCCTGATCATATAAATAGTTCAGGTCGCTTCTTCTAACTAATTTATGGGAAAGTTTTTTATGAATTTGAGATGGAGAGGGAAGGAATGTTTTTTCTACATTTATTTGTGTTTTTATACATCATTTTTACCTACAGAAAAAAAATAAATTTCTCAATTTTTAATGGGCTATCTTTTGCTTTCTTTTTTTTTTTTTTAATTTACCATGGTGAGGTTAGTTCTTTTTTACTATAACTTGAAATCTATGTAAATTTATATTATTTTAATTCTCATATTTGTGATCAACCAGTTTCAATAATTAACCAGTTTTAAAATCATATTTTTGATATTTTACTACCTATAAACTTTTGGAAGAAATAGTTTTAACAATTAAGCGTATGCCCTTTGGAGGAAGCTTACTACAAAACTATTATAAATCTCCAAAACTAAGTATTGATTTGGCACAACCAATGGAGAACATCAATAAATTATCTTACTAATATTTAAACTTATGAGGATGCTTTTATATTTTGTCTTGCATTTACTTCAAGACATATATTTGATCAAGTTTATTTATATTTAAGAAGTAACACTTATAAAATATTTTTAAAATCTTCAAACATTTCTAAAACGTACCGGGCCAAATACAATTTCTTTTTATGCCAAATACAAATATTTCTATGATCACACTTATAAAACATTTCTAAATTCTTCAAACATTTCTAAAATATATCGGCCCAAATACAAAATAATTTTTTTTTCAGATACAAATATTTCTAAAACCTACAGATATATTGGGCCAGGGTCGCGTATTGCGCGACCAGACATCACTAGTGTCAATATTAGTTAAGATCTAAATACTATAAAATCTGAAATAATCTGAACAAATAAAATCTAAATAATTCTAACTAATGAGATCTTTTACTAATCTTATCAAGATATGTCCAACGCAAAATCCAGTTCAGAACTAAAGTTGTCAATGAAGCCAACATTAGCAAGACAAGACATTGGCGGCCTATATATATATTGCCATTGATTGCAAACCTTGACAAGAAAAAAGCATGGAAATGCATGAATTGACTTGTTCTTTCTTATATTGCGTAAACCAAATTTGGTGAAATAAGTAAAACCAACTGCGCAACATCAGTTCATATGATACAAGAAATGCAATATTAACTAGTAACACTACTTGTTTAAAGGGTTTCTTGAGAGGGATCCTTTGATTAAAGGGATCGAGATTACAGTCTACATTGTTGTAGACCATTTGAGGTTGAAGGTGAGAATTTCTTTACGGGAAACCACGTTACGATTTTGTTTCACAACGGCCACAAGCTCGGGAACCAACTGATTCAAACCATATGGCAAGTTATGAAAAACTAAAAAATAATCATTGCATTTAAACCAAATTTAAATATGAGTATCAAAAACCTCCAGAATAAGATTAAGTGAAGAAACACAATTAAAACACACACTCTTTCTCAATCTAAACGCACGTCATAAGCTTTGCAGAGTTGAGCCAACGCAGCCCGATTAGGTTGATCAATATTGTTTGTAATAATGGGGACATACTTTCCAGGAGAAGCAGCGCACAATTTAGCCAATGAAACAACCAAAAACTGCTTCGGATCCTTAGTTTCCTTCAAAGGGTCTTCATTTTTCTTCCCAACACTGCAAAGACGAGCATAGGTAGCAGTATTCCCCCTGGTGGTCTCGTCGAAATCAAGAATCTCCAATTCATCCTCCTGCATGGCTCTCTCATGTTTGGGTCGGGTAACAAGACTCAGAGTGCTATTCAGCAGTTTCACCGCCAGCCCAGATTCCCAAAGCTCCGGTGATTCACAGATTAGTTTGGTGGAAGCAACAGAAGTAAGCTTCAGTTCAATAAAACCAAAGATCTTTTCAAGACTAGGTATCCAGAGCTGCTCCAACATGTAATAAAACAAACCATCTTCAATAGCATTTATGGAAGCCACAAGCTTATCTGCGCCATATTTGACGAGAAAAAGCGACATGAATATTAAGAGATTCTTAACAAACTTCCCTGTAGGCTTTCCAGAGAGCCTCTTAAACAACACAAGCCAGATATCACGTAACAAGGGTTGGATCACATCAAAACATACGTTTTCAATCACGGTATTCAGCACGTAAAACCCTGGTTCATCTGAACTAGGAACTACAATCAGTACAGAGAATATCTCGAGAACCTTTACTAGCTTTCCCTGTTGAACCATCATCTCCTGGGGCAACTTTCGGAGGAAAGCCTGGAGCAGATAAACGAGAGTAGAAACATTACACGACTTGGTCCATGAATCGGGCATCAGAAGGATCTTAAAAACCGGGAGATATCTATTAAGATCAGGAGTAAACTCCAGAAGCTGTGCCAACAGCTGGAACGCATACGGGAAGAATTCACAGATTCCATTCCTTAAGATGACCTGGATGGGGGGAAAAAGCTCAGCTTCTAGTGCAGAAATGACACAAGGGACTGTCTGGGCTGCAGTAGCTCCTCTAACAAAGGCAGCAATTGAATCAAACAAATAGTGGTTGAAAACCTGACTCATGAATAGCTGATTCTTTCGATGCTCAAAAATCTTTTCCAAAACCTTAGTTAAACGTCTGAGGCAAGGCAAAACAACATCAAGCGGAATTTCGGCCAATATTCCAATAACCCTCAAACACTTCAACACATAGTGATTTCCAGCTGAATCCTGCTCTAAGGCACTGACAAGGCTGTTCAGTAACGGCTGCATATACGGGGAAATATCTGCAGGAGTATACCTCGGCCTGCTGTTATCATCTTTAACCAGCAAGAGCTTCTCAATGCAGGTTGCGGCGTAAGAAACAACCACAGTTGACTCTGAATGAAGGAACCGCACAACATCAGGAAGCACGGCCAGAGCAATAGGTTTTGGTATCTGGTTTCTAAACACAGTGAAAAACTTCAAAGCATCTGCTTTCAATATTGGGAAAGCATTCACGTCCCGACACTGCAATTCGGGCACAATCACTAATGTGAAGAAGTTGTCGACGTTGACTAGGTCAGTAGTACTAAAAGACACCCCGGCGCCCCCTCCTCCTGCTTTCTTAGTAGAAAGGGACACAACCAAATAAACCGCACAATCCTTGTACTTCCAGTTTGCAACGGCGTTTGCGCCAAAGTATTCCAAACAACGCTGTATCTCACCCTGGATTATCCGGGCCACATTTTCTTTATAATGAAGGGCAATCCCTTTAAGAAGATCACAGGCCACCCTCCTCCTGGTCTCCATATCGCTCCCTTCCAGGTCCCTACTTATAAACTCCACAGGATTCATGTCAAACAACTCCCCTTCCTCGTTCCTTAACATCACGTTAGGGATGATTACGCCCTCAACAATCTGCTGCAAAACATTGTCCCTTCCAAAGAGAGGATGGTGGTGCGCGCTAGTGCTAACCTTGCAAAGGAACTTCATGGCTGTGACGGTCAACTTTTCGCGACTCGGGTACGATGAGGCAACGCGGACAAGGCCCCAAACAGCCTCCACGAATCCACTCACGTACATCTCAAACTGCTCCTCCTCTTTCTCCATGTAAAGACTAATATTCTCACATACAGCGGCTCGCAACTCATCAACTACGGCCATCCCTTGGTCATTCCCACCGTCCTCCAAAGCCGGGTACTTCACAGTCAAGTACTTTTTGAACTCAATCATCCACTCGCTCATATGATCTTCGAAGAATTCTGGCAGGTCCTGAAAATTCAGGGAATAAAATATCTCACAACATAGCCTTTGGGAATCCAAATAAAGCTTGAGGGCTGCAGGATTGGCCGCCTTATCTAATAACCCGGCGGTTCCCTGAAACAGTAGCAATAATGGGCGCGCAAAATTATCGAGGCAAAACTTTAAATCCAGAAGCAGCCCCTCTGATCTATAACCATAACGAAACTTATCAAACAAAGAGTTTATTGCCACCAAAACCCCGTTAACGGTGGGGTAATCGTTCCCCTGGCTTGATGCATCCAGCCTGGCAACCATCTCCGACAATAGAGAAGGCCACTTGTTCGGAAAATCATGTTTACCAATAACTGAAAACACTTCGCTCAGCTGTGGTTGGATCTTAGGGCTGGAACGGACCATCAACGGAATAATCTGGGCTTTGATTTGCTCTTTCTCGGAATCGTCAATGGTAGACGAGGCAATACCGTCGGCGGAAACTACCTGAGCCCAGCGCGATTTGAGGTGATTCTTGAAGGCGATGACAGCGGCTAGCCGGATATGTTCGTCGACGGAAGACTCCGCTACGAGGCAGAGGAGGGCGAGTGCGAAGTTTGGCTTACCTGCGGCGTCGGCGAGGAAGGACTCGGCACGGCTACGTGGTTCCGGGAGGGGAGACATCGTGCCGAGAAAGCACTCAGAGAGGAGTTGCAGCGTCTGTGGATTCGGATCCATCTTCTTTGTTTTTTCTTCTCCCAAAACGCCTATACGTCTGAATATTTGGGTTTGAATAAAATCATGCAGCTGCCTTCTTTTATAGGATTGTTTTTGTGGGTCAAACCGTCAAAGTCAAACACAAACCAAATCACAATGGAATTGGTTTTTAGTCCCTTTAGCTAATTTGCATGTCAGGAGGATTTCTTTTTCCGAGTCTGGAAAAGCTTCGATATTTTGTTACAACTGTGAAGTGGAGATTTTGGTTACGAAATTACAACCTGTCATGACCTTGGGGCTAAAATAGAATTAGATGGAAATATAGGATTACATTGTTATTTATGGCCAGAATCTATTGTATTAGGCATCGTGGATAATATTGAATGAAATTAAAATATATTTTCCTTTTACACAATTCTCTCTGTTTCTCTCAATCTCAACTTCTTCTTCCTCCGATCACTTCATTAAGTAATGCAGTTAGATTTTGGACAGAATTGAGTTATGTGGTTTGATTGGAAAAACTGCACTAATTCTGGGAGTTGATACTGCCAAGGGAGTTAATACTGTCAAAACAATGATTAGTCCAAAACAAAATATTAATATTTTTTTTTTCAAAATTGTCCCTTCCAAAATGTGTCATTTTTCTCTTCCCTTCTTCCCCTTTTACCTTCTTCCATAATCCACCAGATTAATTTAAAGTTTCGAGCAAAATGAATTTGTCATATCATCATTCTCTTTGTCTCATTTATTTAGAAATCAGAATGCAAAACTACTCCTTAAACATTAATATTGTTTATTTAAGTTACAAATTATTTTTTGTGACGTTTTCAAAAATACACCAGCCAGCTTGACAATGACTAAGGTGGTTTGGGAAACATCTGGCCAACTCTTATCGGGTCTCACACTATAATTAACAAAGAAAAGAATAAATAAATACATAAATTACATTTCACATAATTAACTTAAATCCTAGTAAACATAATCAAGACTTCAATCTAAAAACTAAACCAACTTCTATTTTACACTTTACACTTTTCTACTGTAACCTACCAACTATTACAATATGCAACTTCTCGTTGTATCACTTCCCGGTAAAACCTATAAAAAGTATCTTAAGGGGATGAGCTAAGCCCAGTAAGCTTCCTAAATTTCAGAAATCATTTTCATGTAGGACTCGGGGTTACATGCATGCAAACAATATTATCAAAAGTAAATCAGGCGCATGCAAAAATAATTTTTAAGCAACAAGTACGACTTCGCGCGAAGACCACAACAAATTGAGACTTAGCCAGACTACACAGCAGGCTATGGCCTCCCTATACGAGGATTTAGCCAGACCATACAGCAATCTAAAGTCCATAAAACACTAAGCACAAATTTAGCCAGTTCACACAACAAGCTTGAACCCATATAAAATCAAGTCGGGATTTAACCAGACTACACAACAGGTTATAATCCCATATAATACACATATCACACAGATTCACAAAGTCACGGATCGAAGTCCCATATATCACACGCAAGCAATCACTCAGTCGCAACAAAGGCACACACGGACACTCACATTCATCCACATCCAAGCTTTACAAATTGAAATAAATTTCAAAAAGAATTAAAATAAAAGTTTAGAAATAGTTTGAGGAACACTCACCTGTAATGTGACCTTTGACCTCTAAGGGACCAACTTACTATCAAAAAGTCGACTAGCATGTGCACATCTTTTATAGACAGCAAGGTAAACAATGAAACTTGATAAGCAAAGAGTTCAGCTCAAGGAAGAAACTATAAGATTATTCTTACGTTATGAGTTCTAAATTTCAGTATTAGGGTGGTAAAAATGTCATGTTCGATGCAAGTTCCCAATCAAACCAGAGATCCAAATTACAAGTCACAAGACCATTTCAATTTAGGGTAAACATGGAAGGGTTTCAGTTAAAATATTGAGGAAAACAACTTCAGAAAATACAGCAAATATAATCTCAAACATGGTACTTCAAAACTGAATTTTATTCCAGAAACTTCAAATTCAAGACATCATATTCAAGCTTAACTTTTGGACAGATTACAACTCCTTTTCACAAGTCGCCAAAGCAGAGATAAACTTCATCAAATATAGGAGATTTCGAAGGAAAGAAACCTCAGAAAACTCCTCAAGGAGTAGGAGTATCAATTCCCTAAACAGAGACGCAGAATCTGGTTTTCAGCGTATTTTCAGTCTAGACCATGCCATTTTCAAATCTAGTTTTCAGAAAATCTACAACTCCAATTTGAAATCCGTAAAAACTAGGTTAACTATACTGAATGAAGAAGAGTTCTGTAAAAAGAAATTCAGGAAAAGGATTTAAAACCTAAGAGAAACAGGCCTGCTAACAGACGCAACCTGTTCTGAATTTCTGCTTTTTCAGCAGTGAACATGTCATGTTAAAATCAAGTTTTCGGACAATTTACAAATCTGTTTTGCAAGCCGTAAAAACCTGCATAAACTACACTGGAAGAAGAAGGGATTCATGAAAAGAAGTCCCGAAAAATAATTCCAGAGATATGAGAAAATGGCCTCTCAACAGAGTGCTGGAAATCTGGATTTTCTGCAATTTAAATGTCATGGAGTACACAAGCCCTGTTTAAGCAGAACTTTAAAAGATCCACATAGCTTTTTGATGCACCAACAAACTCAGTATAAAAATAGGCAGACAAGAAGGTGTTTTACAAAAAACCATGAATTTAAAGGACTAAGAGACGTGAGAATTAAGTTTCTCAAAACAATAACTCAAATCTGAATTTAAAGATTGCTCCTATAGTTTGTTTACAATTTGTTTACACCTCCAGAGATTGCAATCTTTGCGCAGTATGTCGGCAAAGAGAGCTCTTAGTTTAGATTGGGGCATATATTTTTTTGATGTAGCCCCAACTTTTGTACGTGTGCTACTAGAGAATGATGTATCTAGTTTAGTATGTAATGACTGAAGCTGAGACCTCAGTACCTTTTCACCAAAAAAAAAAAAAAAAATTGCTCCTATATGTTCTACTTCACAACTAAAATTCATATCCCAGGATATAAATAAATCATCTGAATAACAAAATCATATGGTTTTAATTTTTCTGCTTATTAATGGTTCCTAATTTCTCTTGATCCATGGTGAAGATGTGGATGATATACTAATCACAAAAGAACATATAGATTGGACGGGAGAAAAGGGACTTGGGAAAAGAAACAAAGGATTAATTAAAGAAGGGTATTTTGGGAAGAATAATGACAATTTGTTTTGGATACTAATTATTGTTTTGACAATAACAATTCCCTAATATAAAAAATTAAACGTCATTTATAATTGTTTGAGAGAAAATTTAATTTGTTATTATAAATGCAATAGCAGAATAGTCCCAAAAACTTAGGAGATTGATTGTTACATTTGTATTTGCTTTCAAAAGAAACTTGCGGTCTAAATTCACTCGGATTTGGGCTTGAAATATGGTATTGTTTTAGGAAGTCTAGGCTAACTTAGTTCAGCAAAAACACTGGACAGTTTGATCATGAAGCCCAATATGAATTGTCAATTTGTTCAAAACATCAAACAAGCCCAAGAAGGAAGGAAGTAACCCTTCAGGCTTCAGATGGTCGTCTTCTTCCGAACCGTGTGCCGGGTTCAGCTATAATAGAACCGACGTCCCCTCTAAATTACTATTTTATTAAAATTTAATTGAATTACTATTTTTTGAGGGATTAATTTGGCGTATATATCATTTATGCTATGGTTTGGGACTTAAAAAAATATACCTATAAATATGAGATTATAAGGGAATAATAAATAATTAGTTTATATATTCTTAATTGCTGGATTTAGGTATTTTTATTTTTTGTTTATATTAAGGCTGCAAAACTATATGATTGGACATTTGAATTTGAATTAATATATCCATTCGTTTGAAATGTATCTGATCCTTATTTGTAGTAAAACATGTGTTTTGTTTTAAAAAAAATATATAGCTTCTAATTAAAAGAGACTTACACGTGGCAAAAAGACTTCTGAAATATGGTGCATTGGAGTCAAAACAGTTGCATACGTAGTTGCCACATAAGCTTCATGTCTTCTGCTATAATAGGGTAAAAGGGATAGCACATCGGGGATTCCATGAACAACTATTAAAGGATTTTCCAGTCGGTCGGTGGGTCGACCAACCCCTCTGACCCCCTTAGTTCCGTCACTGCTTGGTCCCTTCCACAGCTGCTTACTTTCCTGTGTCCGCACATAATTTTTCTTTTTTTAACCTTATTTACATGATATGTTAAACTCATTTCTAAAAAAAAAAAAGTTCATAATGATTTTTAAAATAATTATGACAAATTATTTCAAAATAATTAATATGGATTATTTTTTTAACACAAAAGAAATATATAGTTCAAGCACCACGTATAGACTAAGCATGCATGGATGCAACATCCGTATAAGATAATGATGATATTGCTTCACATATTAATTCAAAAATAATAATAATAAATTATTTATAAGATTGAAACATCTGATCTCGTGAATAACATTCATCTTCTCATTTCACACAACCACCTCGCTTTTACTTCACATGTTAAATTTACCAACACAGTGATTATAGGAGAAAGTCTCAATTTTTATCGGAAAATTTACACGCAAAAAAACTATGATTCATCCTGTATGGTAACAATTGTGGTACCTATTTAAACAGATAATAATGTGGGTCAGTTCTACCACTTTTTCTTTTTTATTGAATGGTTGTCAATTTGGTTCATTCACACCAGAGAGAGGATTGCGACAGGCAGATCCACTCTCATCCTATTTATTTATCATTTGCTCAGAGGTTTTCTCCCTTATCTTACAGGACCTACAATCGACTGGCCGCCTACATGGTGTTGGAGTTGCTGAGATAGCATCATCTATTTCTCACCTCTTTTTTGCAAATACACTCTTCTGTTTGGAGAGGCCATTCGATAGAGAAGCAACAATGTTGAAATATGCAATATCTATGTACGAATCAGTGTCAGGGTAAAA